TCATGGGGATGATCCTCATGTTACCATTACGAGTGTTCGGTCCCTCGTGCTCATCATGCGCGACGTGCCTACCCGCATTCGTCACTATTTCAGCTGGTCTCTGTCTTTACGCTACTCAGCTGCATCCGTCATGATCGTACTGACCGTCTCCATGTGGCATTTGTCCCCATTGTGATCGTGATTGATGTGCTCATTTAGGTTGCTCGGGCGTTCGGGATCGTCACTACGCGTGATGTTGGGCTCGCCAAAGTAAACAAGAGGCCGCATGAATGTGGACGAGAGGTTGGTCAGGTGCGCCATGAAAGAAGAAGAAAATAGAGAGATTGTTAAAGTTGAAGCAGGGAAAAAGATTGAAGATGGGGGAGATGTGGTGAAGGCAAGATAAGTTGAACAGGGAGGAGGAAGCTTACCGACATAGCCCTGGCGTTAAGACTGGCGGTGTATCTTGTCTAGTTCCCGCGGATGATTCATTCTCATTTTTGCACGTCTGCCGAGTGGTAGAGTCAAGACTCTGATCATCACAACATCCTCTTCCTCACCATTTTGGTAGTGCTGATCTCGCTTCCGATATAGTGCTGTTCGCAGTGATCACCCCAAGCTCGTGCTCGTCAAGAGGATCGTCGTGTTCAGGCTCGTGGGTGCAAGCGTTGTGCATTCTCTTTCTTAACAGTGGCCGTTTTCCTACATAATAATCCCTGGTTAGACAGTTGTGGCCATTCCCGAGATTACAGAAACGAGGTAGAAGCTTAGTTGTTGGCACCTACTCGGTTGCAGTCATCGAAGAGTTTGATAGTGCTTACCTCTTTCCAATTATCCTTTTGCTGAAGCGGGCTCCATCTTCGATGTTTACTTAGGTTCCAGTCATGACCATCCTTTTCGTTTTGCTATGGCCGTTCTCAGTGCAAGATGGTAGTCCTGCTGCCTACCTAACAAACTTAGCAGAGACAAGGTAGTTGTAGTAGCAGCAGCAGAGTGTGCCTGGGAGCATGGGCACGAGAAAGAGAGAAGGAGAGAGTGAGAGGGAGGTGAAACCAAAGGAAGAAAAAGGAGAGGGCGAAAAAAAGAAAAATTGAAGGGGTCGTTAAGCTGCTCAAAAGTGGTGAAGTGGAGCTGATTCGTTGATTTTGTTAACAAGCGAGGCCTTAGCCGACGTAACAAGGGTTGACAGACTGAAACTTTCTTCTTTATCCTATAGGTGGTGAGGCAAGATCACTTTCAGTTAGTAAAGTGACTTGGTTGGTTAGTATGGTCGGTAGCTGAAATAAGTGTCGTAGTTAGGCAAGACACTTTCGAGCATCGGTAGTTTCTGTATCTTCAAATATGCTTGCTGCGATTAAACTAGTTCGGTTACGACTTTTGCACACGACGAGAGGCTGCCGCAGTTAGAAACACGAGGGGATGCTACTGTATTATGGCTGGTTACTGATGCTGATCACTGCTGCTCTGCTCAGGTCGACTCAATGTTGGCCCTCCTGACTGATTCTCGACTCTGCTACATCTAGATTTGGTTGTAAGTTAGAGTTATTGCCACCAAGTGTCTACCGTGTTTTGGGTCAGATGGTGTTGATACCTCATGCTCAGGTGAAGGCATTGTAGCACCAACAGTTGTTAACTATAGATAGTATGCGATCAGGAGGCAACTGTTGTCGGTTTCTGCACCAGCAGGTGCTGTTGAAAGCGGCCCGCGGCTATTACAGCAGTCTCGGTAGACTATCGATTGGGCGACATAAGATGGTGCTGCTGCAACTAGTATTGTTATTGGCACTGTCGTGGTGCAAACGCGGCTAGACCTTGCAAAGCAATCGGCTGCTGCTGTTGGACGGGAGTGAGGCCGCTCTTGTTTTCAGCAGTAACGCCAACTGTTGCTACAGTCGTTTATAGGGGCGGAGAGTGTTGGTCGGTGCTCCTTGAGAATAATACTTTTAACGGGAATGTTGCTATTACTACAAGCTGGTTCTTAAGGATTTGTCATGCAACAGAATGCATATGTTACTAGGCATTGAGGACTGTCACAGTGGCAGACTAGAGCTGTAGCAGCGCCCAATACATTGCTAAGCGTCGGATCCTGCCGTTCGAGCTTGGATCAGGTGGGATGTTGCTTTGACCGCGCCTTGTTATAATGCTGCGTTCTCAGCCGCTCTGCCAGCCACATCCAGTTGAGCTTGACTGTGATCATTGTGCTTTTAGTAGAACACGGGGGCGTGGTCTATTTGAACGACGTGTTTCTAGACTGCGCATTGTGCCTTTCGTCAGTCGTGCAAATCATCCGCCGGTCTTGGGTATAAACGCGAGAGACTAATTACCCCAACTAGTTGTCGGGGTCCCTCCGAGGATGCCCTCGGGATAGCTGGAGCTTTCGAACACAGGCCACAACAAACTTCCCCACTACTGGGTGCGGAGCTAGTTTGGGGGAGACAAGAAAACGTACATGTGAGGAAGGAGTAGCGAGTGTGCGAACATACGATCGAGCAACAGAACGAGGGGGACAAAGACCACTCGCGGTTGAGTTGAACGACCACGTGAAATTTTAGAATGAAAGATTCTGAAGTGGTCTGAAACTGCTGAATTGGTCTGAAGACACTTCAGGTCATTTTAAAAGTTTCTGGTGGTTTGAAGGATAAGTTTTATGTTTTTTTTTAATTTTTTCTGCCTGTTTTTTCAGCCACTTCAGGTTTGTTCAGGAATTTCAGGTGGGGACCTGAAACCGCTGAAGTGGGTGAAGCTTCTGAATGGGGTTTCAGGTACCCCCATCCAAATGGTTGGATAGGGGTACCTGAAACCCATTTCAGAAGCTTCAGCCACTTCAGGACATTTCAGGAATTTCATGTGGGGACCTGAAACCGTTGAAGTGGCTGACGCTTTTGAAAGGGGTTGGATGGGGGTACCTGAAACCACGGTTGTTGACCCCCGGCCCCGGGACACCGCCGGGGTTTCGGGGTTTCGGGGG